TGTTTTTAGAAGTGCTACTTTTTCTGCATTTATAACATTCAGTTGACTAAATAATTAACAAGGTCTGTTCATCAAAATAAGTACACGGTTGACGATCATTTGCAGACGAAATTTAAAAAAAGAAACAACAGAAAAAACTACCTTCGTACGAATATTCAAAGGTTTTTTTTGCAAATGATTAATATTTAAATTTTGTAGCTAAACGGATTGACTGATTTCCTCACTGTATTTTCTATAATTTCATGAGTCTTTGAAAAGTCAGAAGAAATATTGCGTAAACAAAAGTGTTTTCACTAAGCAAATTGCTTGTTTTTAATTATATGTGGATAAACGATTTACAAACTACTGACTTAATGTTATTATTATTATTATGCGTATATAATTCTATAACTTATAATAAACTTTTAGATCTTATTCGGTCACTAGTAGACTTCTACCCTATTCCGTCGCCACCTCACCCCCTTTTTTATTATTTTAAAAATAAAACGATAACTTTAAGAAGAAAAATGTAATTACACATTAAGCATTAAGTAGGATTAACCAAGAAGAAAACACAATTATAGATGTTGATTCTTTCTTTCAAAAGGATTTGTCTTGTAGGTAACTAAATGGATTGGAAAATTTTCCTCCCGAAAAATAACGAATTTTGTATATTATCCTGTGTCTAAATTATCCCGGATATAACTAAATTTTGGTGGCGATAACACTTTTAAACGTTTCTGCTAACTTTCTTTTTTCTTCTTCTATAAGCAATGAAATTAAAATTTGCTAAAAGTTATGGTCAAGTTCAATGGATGACTAATCAGATTTTCTATTGTAACCATCGTTCAATCTCAAAGCTTTTTACATTTGATGAAGGATCCGACCTTGAACAATATCTTAGATATCATTTATTCTTAGGCGCCCTGGTAATAGATTGTTGTTAACCTTTAATACTAGGTGTTTACTCTGTTAGACAAACAAAATTTTCGGAGAATTGTTTGTATACAATATAATTTCTTTCAACAAATCCTTTTTTTTTTGTAAGGTTCATTGAAACATTAATTCCCCTCACTGAGTATGCAATGTTAGTTGGATGTTTTACTGTTTAAGACAACCAACTTGTGAATCCTGAGAATATTTTTCGGTTTTATTAGTTCCTTGTTAAACATTTCCACTTTGAATTTCTTTAAACAATATTTTTGTTATTTTTGCATCATGTGTTTATTGTCTGGCTAATTTCAATGTGACAGCCTTTTTTACGTAACAGAAACACGGCTGCACGACTTGAAAATGACGTGTTTTTTAAAAGAGGTGTTGCATATATATGTATATTATCATTATTAAACACTAGTATAACTCCTATGAAGTACATATAACTTAATCCACTAAAAATATTTCTCTACTTGTAATAGGATATAATTAGAGAGAAAATGAAGCTTTTACTCTGGGATCATTTTTAAAGTCAAACAACCATAACTATATTTATCGAAAACAATAAATAATGTGATGTACATATTGCGGAAGAGTGCACCGTAAACTAGGTGACTGAAAACTTATTTCTAGGAGCAGTAAAACAGTAGTGAGTGATGAAATAATGGAAACACCTCTATTAATATTGGATTTGATGTCGTGCAAATATCGTTTTGATTAGTCGATAACTGAATAGCAAACTGCTTCAGGTTCAAGTTCTGGCCAATGCACTTCTAAACCTTGCCTGATTTATTATTTTTATTGTTGGTTACAACAACAAACTTGTATGAAACTAGTCACTACACTCCGTAAAAACAATACAATTGCTACTGAAACTTCAAAAAGTTCGAAACCGTACGTTTCACTCCGAAAATAAAGGAATGCGGAAACGTCTATTCATATGTGAAGCAAGACAGAAAACCATTCAATAGAAGGGTATTGGACAAAGCAAGAACTAAAGTTTTAGCAGAATAAAATGGTACCATCAGTGTTTATTTCGTTGCCTTCTCGTCAGCTGCTTACATGGCAAAGACATTATTAAATATATCTACAACAACAATTTTAACATACTTGCACAGAGTTAAGTTTAAACAAAATCAATCGATCAATATACTCATACATATATAAATATGCAATGTTAACCACTATTCCGAACAATAATAATCAAACACAATGGAAACTTTTAGCATTTCACATTCGGAGGAAAGAGAGGTGAAATTATCCAGCTACCAGGGCAAAGAAAGGCTGATAACCGCTTCTTTCTGGACGCATAAATCAGGTTTCATGCGCTTGATGGAAATGGCTTCAGCAAACTTAAGGAGAATTGAGCTTTTTTGCTTATTGATAATTTTGAACGACTTTTCAACGTCCACCTCATGACCCGTGTCGAGAAGATGCCTGGTGATGGCACTATTTAAAGCATTTGTTCCCTTTAGACGTAAGCTTTTTGGTACATGTTCAGAAGATCGTAGATATGCCCTTCTTTCTGTCCTTCCAATGTAACTGCTCCCGCAGATACATGTAAATTTGTATACACAGTTGGAGGTAACATGAGAAGGATATCTATCGATTTTTGATTGCACCAAAGAGCAAGTTGTTCGATAGACGGCAACGAGCTTAGCTGCAGAATACGCTATGGCTAGTGATGTACTCAGCCTTCTGTTGATCATCGCTGCAATATTTTCACCTTTATGATCAAGCTGAAGGTAGACTGGCTTTTTTTCCACTGTGATTTGTTTTACATTTGTGACTTCAGATCTTCCATACTTGTTGATGAACCTTTGAGGAATTTTTTAATTATCGAGTGAGATATAGCGACCAGACTTTATTAAAATTAACACACTGTAGGATATAAAATTCGGCGTTTCTATTTTACACATAAAAATTACATTGAAAAGTTGAATCGTCGTTGCTCTTGCTGTGCATAAATTTTTAAAGTTAGATTTGCTTTTTCCTTTTGTGTGAATCATTCTCATGGTTTCGAAAAAAGACACTCATTGAACAGAAGGTAATTATACTTGACCAAATGTTTAACAACCGATCTGCTGACAGGCTTGAATTCTCTTCTCAATAGTTATGCAGAATAATACAGAGTGATAAAGTATTAAATATAATGCTTTGTGCTCTGTGTTAATCGAACAACTTCAAAGTTTTTCGTAAAACTGATGACAGACATCGATGATAACTTGTATTAAATATAAATTACGCTACCTAAATTCGATGCTTTTCATTCTGTTTTGCTTTGACATTCATAACAATTCTATATAATGAAGTGTTCATAAATGAACACAACATTTACATGCAAGCAAGCATCAGAAAATTTCATAACTGCTACTCTTTAATAGCTGAAGAGACTATCTGAATAAAAATTTGCTAGCATGTCCCGCTTAATTTTTTCACTGAAGTGTGTCTTCTTGTTATGTGTATCTTGCTTATTGAATTTGGACTTCACAGATTTTATAATGTTATTGTCAATATAACAAAAGTCTATAGCTAATTCGTTTTAGTAGCATTTTTATTGCATATTATGTAGCTGTCGTTTGTTATGCTTTCATCCATATCCTATTAAGAATAAGGTGTTCTAAAACAAAGCATCATCACCTACTCCGTTAACTGTGAAAAACTCTAAGCCTCCGTTACTGAATGCAGTGGCCTTTACCACATCTGCGCAAAAATATGTGCATGGAAAGCATAAAATGACTTAGATGTTGTATCTCATTAAGCAACTACTGTAAACCTTATTGACATTTCATTTATAATTTTCAATCCTGCATACCTTTGTTTCAGTGGATTTTTTATTTAGCTTTTGATCAAAGTGAAAACAAAATATCAGGGCATTATAAATTTCAGTGTTTGTGTGGATGTATTATATCCTTTTTAGTTCAATGAAATTTACTATAATTAATTAAGGCATATGAAAACAGCGTTCTACGAGGACAGAATTTTATTCAGTTCTTCTCTTAAGACGCCTTTTTTCCTACTTTAATACAGTAATTCTTTCTTATCCTTTCTTTTTATTATATGTGAAAAGACACTAAAAGCGACTGCTGAGCGAAATGTGCTGAAAATATACTATTTTTAAGAGAAATATCTTTTTTCACTTGATGTAGAAGTCAGTCGTGTAGAGATAATAATTCGTTCGAATCATAACAATTTAGTGTTAATCTCTATTTTTGTAGTTTTTCTTTGTGTTGAATCTTATGGTAAACACTACTGAGAACTTCTGCATTAAGTGTAGGTGAATACAAATTGAATATGAATTCAACAGTATACACCTCCTGTTGGAAGCTTCTTGGACAACTGGTCGCCAAAATGACGTGTAACAGCAATCATTAAAATGGGAGGTGTTAGCGCACACTTTCAATAATAGTATTATTGCGAAAATATTCATGGAGACATCTATAAAAAACAAAATAATTGAGCAAAGAATATTCCCTTCGACAATTTCCTCTTCTGACTCCATAATTATATAAATATGCTTATATACATAGAATATTCTAGAATAGTAGTCAATAACAACATTAGTGATTTTTAAATAATATAGACCTCTTAAGTAAGTTCAATGGAATTACAGTTCATTGAAGATGTATAAATTATAATAATAAAAATATAATGGCAAACAGAACATCAACTAGAATTGAGGAAATTTCTATAAAAGGTTGAGGGTCATTCGAACCTAAATGGCAAGGTAAAGACAATGCCTGTACTAGTTTGTTTTGGACACATTAATTAGCCTTCTTAATGTGGATCCTAACGGCCTCAAACAGAATAGTCGGAATTGACTCTTATACTTGTGCAAAGTATAGTGCATAAAGCCCAGATATATAGTTCCCTGTGATTTCGTTCTAATTGTTCTATATACTGTTTTATATACCCATGAAGAGAATATCGCTTAATTTTATACATTCACATTTTTTTCCACATATCAGTAGTCATATTAAAAATGGGAGTTTTTTCATTTTCTCTCATAATGCGTTACATACTTCAAATTCTCATTTTGTCACTTCTTTGTTAGTTTCACCATAGCATATTCTCTTCTGTTTTTCTAGGACTGCGATGGTGACACACCACTACATGACGCTATTTCCAGTCAACATATTGGTTTAGTGAGACTGCTCTTACGTCATAATCCCGACCTAACAATTTTAAACAATTCTGGTCAGAACGCGTTACACTGTTCTGCAGTTTACGGAAGTGCAGAGTAAGTGTGGAGTTTCTTTCAGTATATTTTGGTGCTCTTTGATATTTTTGTTTGAAAACATAGTACAAGAAACATTCAGTGATGTATACCATATATATATATATATATATATATATATATATATATATATATATCAAAATAATAACTGAGGATTTAATGGACTAAACATTGGATGATAGACAGCGTAACCGTTGAGCCTTGAGTGTCACAACTGAAATGGCTTGCTCAGGTATGCATTATGTTTGTTTAGCTTAGCCGTACGACATTACCTATAGTGGTATCTATACTTACACACAGGTCAATATACAAATTGCCTTCACTTAGGTTATGTGTACGTTAGTGTTTATCGGTAAGGTGTATTCTTAACTTTACAAAGAAAACATCATTTTCTTCAGGAATACGCTTAAACTGTAATGGTACACAAAAGCAAAAGTTCAGAAATTTCCACTCCCCCATTTTTACAATATTTGGAAACAAACAACTCATCACTTTTTTTATTCCTTTACGTTCGCAGTTGAGCAGGGGGTTTCAAGCCTCTAGCTTAGAGTTTCGGTAGCACTGGCGTTCATTTTTACAGGATGTGGTTGCTAGCCTCATGCTCAACGTTCCCCATTTTCCGGCACTATTACCGGCTTAGCGAGGTAAAGGAATGCGGGGATTGAACCCCGGACCACATGCATGATTGGCAAGCATTCGACCGCTGTGCCACCGACGCACAAAAAAATCTGTGTTGACTAAGTACACGTAGGTGACACAACCTTTTTAAGTGAGAAGGTTTCCGAAACCTAAACACTCTTGAATGCATTCGATCAATTCCTTAAAAATGTAAGGTGATGATGCACTACTAGTTTGCAACGATTTGTAAACTGAGGAAGGGAAAAAAATTTACGGATATTTTGACCATTCCCTTATCCACAAAGTTGCATCAATTTCAATAGACTGGAAGCTGACGTAGTTGCAGCATAGCTGCAGTATCTGGGTAGTCATCAAATGTATGTTTACTGTTCAGAAGTTCGACCCGTTAGATATAAAGAGATTAAAAGCTTTCAATTTTATGTGACTCTGTTGATTTACCTGTTTTAAGTGGAGTATGAATACAAAAGTAAAACGCCTCAAACCATCACTGGATTCTGCCAAATGGCAATATTATTAAAGCAAATGCCAGTTAACAATAAGAGATAATTGTTACATTAGTTGTATATTTAAAACATTTTGTTCCTATAATATGTGGTACCTAGGTTGTAAACTGATAGCATCTATTTTGACCATCAGTATAAGTTAAGGTTTTCATTTTTGCGAATACTACCCTTTTCAGTAGGTGTTTGTTGTCAAACTGGTGGTATTTCTTCACAGCATCAAAATCAAGCTTTTATTCTTCACTAAACACCAACATATATATATATATATACATCGCTTTTCAAAAATCTCTGTAGTTCAAGCCACGTTGTTTTCATTTCACGAATGACTCACTTAGAACTTCTGTCTTCATTTTGTAACGTTATCCATACCCTTTTTCTTCTGTTTTCTTTTTGCTTAAGCTAAACTAAAATGAACACCTTCACTTATTATTACTTCATTGTTTAAAATAACTAGTGTTAGTAATAATTCTTTGAGTTTCAAGTGGAAATTTGAGCTTCAGTGGCATATGTTCATTGCACTCGATTCTATGAACTCGGTTTCATTCGTATTCAGGACTACCCGCAAGCTTTCATTTCCTCTTCATAGGATCTTCTCCGTGTTACTTATGGGCACTAATAACGTCGCTTTCCGTTCGAGTTCCACTTGAGGGCCTGCTTTACAATACCACACAGCACTTTCCTTAGTATATTTTTAAACTACCTCCATTTCTCCCTGCATATTTGGTAGGTATAGGTTGTTGTCTGGTTCGCTGACTGCCGGATTCCTTGGTGCTTATCTTTTTCTACGATCTGATGTTCTTTCTGTATATTTATTGTGCACGTGTATATTATGCAACAATATTCACCACTTCTGTGCTGAATACAATACACTTATGACAGATAAACTATTTTACAATTCATCCAGTTTCTAACATACAATGAGCCTGACCTAACTACTAATCAGCCAAATAAAAACCACATTAAGAAAGTTTGCTGTTGCCAGCATACACATTCACTCAGTTGAAAAGTATTTGCTCACTTGCTCCTATGTCTGTAATTAGTCAACAAATTGTCCAATTATTCTTTCAACGGTCATTTATTAGAATCACTGTCACACTGATATGATTATCTTTAAGTCCTACGTAGGCTGAATTTTTCTTGTTAAACAGATGAGTAGCTCACATTCAAACGAATAAAACTTCTTGACCATGATTAGGTTATTCTAATCTTTCTGGTGAAAACCCCAGACCAGCATTTGTAACATACAACTACTTAGTATCATTTTTCATCTTAAATGTCTGTCAACTTATTATTCTCACTTCGCTAATTTTATATTTTTCAAACGCTATTATTCGAACGAGGCAGGTTATTAATGAAATAACCAAAGTTAATACTGTTGATGAACATAATAAGTGATGATATATATAAAAAGCTTGCTTGGGAAAGTACATAACAGATAAGTAAAACGTTTTTTTCATTCAAGCTTTGCAATATACAAAATAAGTGGAAGAAGAATAACTGTGTGTCTCAAAACTATTCATTTCTGTTTCATAAACTAGAAAGGAAAAAAAAATACGAGTTTGACTTGTAACCGGAAGGTCCTGGGTTCGAACCCCAGTGGCTACACACTGGCTATGATTCCCAATCTAGGATGAAACAGCTGTCCAATACTCCCTGGTTTTCAATGGTTCTCTAACTGATATCACTCCATGATCAACTCGTCAAAACTATTGAAAAGAAATAAAGAATTCAAAGTCAAGTCTTCTAGCCTTACTGAAGACTTCGATTGAAGATAAGTCTTCATGCCATACACATAAGTTACATGCACATAACCACTTGTATACATTAATGTTGCGTTGTTTGAGACTAACAGGGACAACTGGTTACCTGAACTACATGCAAGATAAAATTTATATAAAATTAGGTTTTTGAGAAGACCAGAAAATATTCTATTTTTATTTAGTGAAAAATTAGTCTCACAAATTTGAAGTGTTCCCTACTTTGCATTGGCTCTGAAAAAATCATGTTGCTTTCTATGTGCAATTCTTGCATTTGATAAAGATTTGAAATCACAGATCATCTTACTAAAACTGTTCATCAGCCAGTAGGATTACTTCTGTCTTCTTAAGCGATAAGAGACCTTCGGAGGCCGTCAACATCCAACCGTTGCTGCTGCTGTGTAGTGATGAAAAATGTACTCAGATGTTTAAACTACTTCACAAAATTATAAAACCTTGATAAAATTTTATCTAAACAAAAATCTGTGCTCTACGTGAATTCTGAATTGACAAATAGAATTTTTCACTTCAACTAACATTGTGTATATTATCCAGGAGTTCAGTGGATTGTTCATATTTTATAACCTCATGTTACGGAATATAGATACTGGATCATATGAATGCCTTTATAAATAAATAAATAAATGCCTTCATAATTTCCCTTTAAATACAGATAACCAGATAAAATGCTGCTTGTTGCTATGCGTTATATGAAACAATATCTGATAACATACTGATATAAAGCGAATAAGCCATCTCGTTTGCTGTTGCTAACAGAAAAACATTTCATTTGAGAACTACGCCAGAAATTCAAATTATCACTGAACCAATGAGCTGGTGATTTTTTCGAAACAGCATCTATACACCTTTTTAAGAAAAAGATACTTTTTCAGTGTAGAAACTTCATTTTGTACATATCTGTGTTCGTGTATCCCCTTTTTTCACCTTCAGTAACGTTTTTGAGCCTGGCTTTTTAAATGTTATTCTCCTGGTGATACTATAAGCTCTCATAAAAATGGAATAGATTACCTCTATTACAAGTCACTTTTTAAACTAGGAAACATGAATGATAAAATTAATTGGTATTTTTTATAAATGTGAAACACTACGTTTGTTTAATAGAAAATATGTATGTATAAGCTTTGATATATATATATATGATGTAAGGAAATAAGCGGAGCGTAAGTCTCAGGTTATGTGGTTCATTCACAAGTAGATGAGCTATTCACTAGTTTGTCTTGCAGTTATGATTATTTCTTTAAAATTTCACGTAATTACCCTCACTAGACGTATAAGCATCAGTAAGCTAATTATCGCTTCTCTATGAGTTTTTAAACCTTGATGCGACTGAGTTATTCTTAGAGTTCTACAGGAATCGGACGATGAGAATGCCTCTACATTTAATTAATCACATAATACCACTTACTGCTGTGTTACGTGAACATTTCAGCTTCCTTCTAAAATCTGTGTAGTACTCTTTTAAACTAACACTTTAGCCAAAATGTGATAGCTTACATTAAGCTGAAGGAATTCCTTCTGACTACACATATAATATATATAATATATTTAAGACACTTTACACTTTTTTCATCTAAGTGCCCTTTGGGTTATGAAATATTTAGTTCTTGATTAATTCTCTCTATTCAAACTCATCGCTGCTTTCTATCTATTTTCTTTAAAGAAACAGAACCTGATAAAAAAAATGCAAAAAAAAAATACAAAAATTCATTTGTGCTTGGGGAATAAATGTCTACAGATGGTAAAATAAGGTGTGTTGAACGAATAATACCTGAGGAAAAAGCCTCGTTATTGTTTTTTTGCGTATATGCATAGTTTCCCTATAGCAGCAAACAAATTTCATCTGTCTAACCTAATTAAAGTCTTATCAGTTGATTCAGCTTCATGCCTAAAACAATATGAAACGGTAAATGTGAATGCATAATTAGATTTACGAAGGGAGAACTTGTTAAAAGTATCGAATTCAGTTTCATTTATGTATATTGTTTACTGAATAAGTACTTTATTCCCTATTTAAGAATGAAATGAAATCCATTACTTTGTGTCTTTTATACCTGTTAATTGGATAGTTAGTTGGTCAATATTC